TCTCTCTCTCTCTCTCTCTGAGCATGTGTTTGTGTGCGTGTGTGTCAGTTAGTCTGTCATACATTACAATGCTGTTGTTTGTAGACAGATTCAGTAATTCACACAAGCTTCCCGGCATGAAGTTAACAGCGAAGCTTTCAGATTAATATGCGACTCATCTGGAGTCGCCATAATGCGTTCCTTTTCCGTAATCCGGTGTACTGATTTGGCTTCAGCTCCTCGACGTGTTCTTGAGTTAGAGAGAAACACATTTACTCATGAACATCCTTATGTCCTGGACAAAACCAAGACAGGCAAACAGAAGCAATAGATGGACGGTAAAGAAATTGGACGTGCTTGCAGAGTCCTCTCAGTCCCCACATTTTGCTGAATCATTTGCATGTTGATCAGGGAAACGTCGAAAGGGACAGAACTCAAACATGTCAAAGTATTAATGTGCTTTCCTCAAGCATCTAACTCTTGCGTAAATTCGTTAGTTCTTCTAATTATTGACAGGTGCTTGTCTTCTAATATCCAAGACTGTGCACTTTAATGTAATTCTGTTTCACACAGGGGCATACAAAGTTTTGATTGTTTTGAAACCAAATGGAGGGCAAGAAGGGGAAGGTTGACCATGCCCTCGATTGTTGCGAGACTGGTGTGGTTTGCCCCCCGCGTGTGTGTTCATTGTGTGCACCACGCGTGTGTGTTCATTGTGCGCACCAGCGCCTCGGAGTGTTTTTTAGTTCAGAGAGAACAAAAAGCAACAGCCGTTGACAGTGGAGAGAGAAAGGTATTCTTCAAACCTTGCCAATGTCTTAATACAATGTGCCTCATATTTGATCTAACAATAATATTAATCCTTCTACTTTGTCCAATCAAATCTTCTGTGGAAAAGAATCGAGATACAATGCTCGCCAACTTCAGTTTCGTCATCGTAATATTTATTACAAGAATAAAATCAGAAAAATGTCAAAACAATAATTTTTTTTAAACTGAATATCATAACGAAACGTTTCTAAAATTGATACCTAAATATTGACAGAGCGTCTTTACCCACAGTAGGTATTTACTGCTTTCGAAAGTCCAAATAAACGGTATTTGACAGAGATAGGCATTGGTGATATTTGCCATCAATTCTGATCAACAATGAGTAGTGTCCAAAGCTACCAGCAGGCTTTCCTTTACGAGAAGCAGTCTAAAGTATTCATATTCTGTTCACCCACCATTCCTATATTTCTCATGTAAAACGCATCAAGTTAAACTCAAGAAGAACGAACTGGGTGATTATATCGTCTCAGAGTGGAGGCAAATAACATGCCCCTTTTCAAGACAGCTGACTCATCCAGCAACTATTTCGATGCCACCACTACTGTTGGAACCACAATCACTTTGGTCCACGGTTTCCATTCTCCGGGTTCTCACGTTCAGAGCTTCCAGTTGGGACTTGAGGTCGTCCAGATTGGCGGGTGGTAGCCCAGGTAAGCGGGTCAGGATGTAGGCGAACTCTGGGTGGGAGGAAACGAGAAACGGATGGGAACAACAACAACAACATCAACAATAATAATAATAATAACAACAACAACAACAACAACAACAATAAGAGTGATGATAATATTAATAATATGTATAATATTAATAAAATATTATTATTATTATTTTTGAACACTTTTATTAT